TATATAATTAGATATTTAAAACGATCACATTTTTTTTGAATATATCATTACGGTTTCAACAATTTTTCTTAAGGCACGCTACCATACACCACTAGTTTCTTAATAATCAACTGTATTATAATATAGTATTATTACTATAATATTTCTATTATTACGCTCCTGGCGATAATAATTAAAAATGAATGTGTATCTGAAATATAGTCGGATTAAATCTGATGACAATGTTGAAAAAAAATTAAATAACAGATAAAATGTTCACGTCGCTATGAGCAGCGCGTGAATCGGACAGTTGCTGCCGCTGCGATTATCGTCCCGCTGCGGGAAAACTATATTTTGCACAGCAAATAGGATTAGTGAGAGAGCGGTTAGAAAAATCGTAAAGAGTATATAAAATTCAAATAGTGGTGTATGGCATTGTGCCTTAAGGCAAATTGCTGGAACTTCCCGTACCGTATTTATAAATCTTGGTACGAAACTTTAAAAAATTACACAAAATGTGTACACATTATTAAAATCTCTATAAAGTATCTAATAATTGATGTAAATATGTCCAATAAACATGTTTTACCGCCAAATGACATTTTTTAACTTATTTTTATTGAGAGTCCATAACCGCAGGACCTGAAGAAGTGATGAAATATTTGGAAAGGCAGGGCCAGCGGTCATGGACTCTCAATAAAAAGTTAAAAAAATGTCATTTGGCGGTCAAAAATGTTAATTGGACATATGTACATCAAATTATCAGATACTTTATAGAGATTTTAATAATGTGTACACATTTTGTGTAATTTTTTGGGTTTCGTACCAAGATTTTTAATTACGGTAAGGGAAGTTCCAGCAATTTGCCTTATGGCACGATGCCATGCACCCCACTAGTTAATAGTATTTATTGTTCGAATTCGATGTGCATTGTGTCTATTCTTTTCGACAATATAGTACCTATGGTCCACTATATCTCTGGTGCAAAAATACAATTATAAGTAAGTGTCAAGCGTCCATAAAATTGAATTACGGTCCAACCGGATTGCTTTCCGGCGACTGCTCTGAAATTTATAGAAATAATATGATATATAAACCACCCTACAAGATTTTGTTTTAACCCCCGGACGATCACATATTTTTTATCCCATAGAATAAATCGATTTCGAAGTAGCGCCTCGACTGAATTTAAAACACACAAGGAAAAGAAATGTATTTGACTTTGAAGGAGATATTTATGCATTAGTCAGAAACTCTGCAAATTTTCTAATTAAATGTATTCTTGACGTTTCAAGTTGTTCTGAATCGCTTGACACCAAATTTTAAACATGTATGTATGTGAAATGTTTATGTGAGGCGAAATTATACCTTCAAGTTGATTTTCTCAGATTTTTATAAATATTTTAAGAAACAATTGACTAATATGTCCAAGAAATTAAAAAGTTTCTTAAAAATCGTTTATTGCCTAACACTTTAATCGCCATATCAGTCACACGTGTCTTACAATAAGTTCTACATACACGCGACTACATAGATTGAGAAAGACTGGCCATTCGTATGGCTCCCTGTCAGTCATATACGGTTGACATAAAAAGTAGGAATTTTGTCCAAAATATTCTTTTTTACAGTTACCATGGGTCAAGAATTTTTTTTCTGATATTTTGGTGACAATTGACGTGTTAAATCACTAATTCATTCTCGATTATTGTTTGCAATAAAATTTAATGCAATTATATCACATGTGGCTTCGGGTAACTCCGGGTAAAATAATGTATTACACAATTCAATATATAAATTCATATATAAATTTAATTAAGATTTAAATATGAACTCCTTATAAACACAGATTCATCATTTTAATTCTCATTATATGATTGCAATAGATACCGGCATCATCATAATATGCATAAAAATGTATTGACATTTACCTAACCTAACCTAACATTACAACTATTTTTGAAAAAATGTTGAAGCGACTTACCCATAACAGGAGTATTGCTTGCAACTTATATTATTCAAATATAATTCAATAATCATCCTTAAATTAATTAATCACTACTGTCGATTTCTATTTGTATAATAAAATATTAAAAAAAAGCTTTAGAAAAAATGCACTTCTTCACACTTAAGGCGTCTATTGCTGTCAAAATAAAAAACAAAATGGCAGAAATCGGCAAAAATTTGAACTACTGCAATTGCGAGCGAAGTGAAGTTATACCCAAATCTCAGCGAATATCAAACTTTTTTTAAAACCCTAGAAGATTAAGTAAAACACTACAAAATTGTCAAAAATGCTGTGGCATCACAGCATTTTATTTTAAGTTCAGATTTCGATTTCAAACTTAATTTTAAAATGGTAATTATCTATGGAAATATCTATTGTCATTGCAGTTTCAAAAGTCAGTTATATCTCAGTGAACATCAAACTTTTTTAAAAACTTTGAGAAGATTAGAAAAAAAAAACACAACTAAATTAACAAGCTGTAACATCAAAACATTTTATTTTATTTAAGTTTGAATGATCATTTTGAGTAAAAATTACAAATATTGATATTATTTATAAAAAATGTTGAGTTTAATATTGATTTGAAACTTAATTTTAAAATAAAAATTATCTATGGAATTTTCTATTATCATTGCAGTTCCAAAACTCAATTATATCTTAGTGAACATCAAACGTTTTTTCAAACTTTAGAAGATTAGAAAAAACACATAGCCTAAATTATCAAACTGTAACATCAAAGCATTTTATTTTAAGTTCAAAATTTAATTTTGAGTAATCAGTGCAAAAGATTATGAATTTTGATGTTATAAATTGGCTATAATATAATATTGAATTTGATACTGAATTTTAAAATAAAAATTATCTATGGAATTTTCTAATATCATTACAGTTCCAAAACTCGATTATATCTCAGTGAATATCAAACTGTTTTTAAAACTTTTTAAGATTAAAAGAAGCACAACTAAATTATCAAACTGTAACATCAAATTATTATTTATTTATTAGTTATTTTAGGTTCAAAATTTCATTTTGAATGATCATTGCTGAAAGTTCCAAAATCTTGTTATATCTCAGTGAATATCAAACTTTTTTTTAATTTTTATAAGATTAGAAAAAACACAATTAAATTAACAAACTATAGCATCAAAACATATTATTTTATGCTCAAAATTTGGTTTTGAGTAAGTACTGCTAAAGGTTACGAATTTTGATAATACTCAGAAAATAATAGTGTATTTTATCATATGCAACTTATAAAGTGGTTATAATATAATATCGAATTTCAAATTTAATTTTAAAATGAAAATTACTATTACTATTGCACTTCCAAAATTCAGTTATATCTCAGTGAAGATCAAACTTATTCTAAAACTTTGTAAGATTAGAAAAAATACAAATAATTATAAAACTGTAAATATTCAATATCTATAATATATGATCAAATCAATATTATGTTTTCAAACGACTCGGCACTTAAGAAAGAAATTTCTTGAGTTGACACAGGTAAAATAGTAAAATAGTGTTTTGTATATAAACTTATGCTCTTGATGTAGTTTTCAACTTTAGATTATTTGCATTATATTTATTTTTATAAACGATCCTTAATGTTTCATAATCCTTCATATTCTTCTAGTTTTCCTCAGCCGATAGTCCAATAAGAACCAGTTTAGAAACTGACTGCAAAAATTTGAATTTTTGCTGCTTATACTTAAACAATTTCACTTTACAGATTTAACATATTATATAATAAATAAATCATAGAATGCAATTGTTGCAGAAGAACCATAAATGTATCAAAAATTTATTGCTTGGACAAGACATAATATTAATTTATTGCAAACTGTTTGAAATTTTGCATCAGTTATCCTTAAGGTGTAAAATATATATATATATATATATATATATATATATATATACATATATTCAACTTCATTATTTTTAATAGTTACACAAAGAAAATAGATTGAATGTCCTTTGTAGGAAAGCAGTCAAATATGAAAATAAACTACCAAAGCCTTAGGACACACATACTTTGTCGATTTTGTAGGCATACGATTCAGAATGACTTGCTTTTGAACAGCTTCAGGCAGTTAATAACAATAAAATAAAAAAGTTATCAGATATAATCAACAACCACCATATAAGGAAAATTACAGCATTTACTAAATGACTTAATTTATCTAAACAAACCCACCTTTACCCCGATATCTAACTTTCCCCATCATCTATTGCCAGAATAATTTGACAAGATTATCTCTCTTATAAATGTCAACTAAACGAGACGTCCTAGAATAAAAGTGAAACCAGCCAGACTTCCACAAAAATCAAATAAAAAATGTAATATCTGTCGCAGAAAATCTAATCCCCCATATGTCTTACCAGAATATATCCCGTTTGAAAATGCTCTACTGATAGCCTGAAGAAAATTCAATTTTCTTTCCGACGCCAGGCTATTTTTTGGGAAATAATATTGTGAACTTTTGTTACTTAACCGAATTTTTAAGTATATATATATATATATAACTCAGCAGTGCCGAATATAAAGTTAATTGCAATGATTGTAACTCCTGTTATGTCGGAGAAAGTTCATAATATATTTTTATAATATTAAAAAAGTATTCGTAATTCAAAAAGTCTCAAACAATTTACACCAGGTATACACACTATATTCACAACTATGTTAAATCAAAAATCAAAATTAATTCATAAATATAATGCACATTTCAAATATAATATAAACTGACTTGTTCCTCCAAAATCGTTTAGTTAGTTTTATAAATAAGACAAATATTTTAATGCAAACATATATTCTCTTTTTTAATTTTTGATTACAGTTATCTTATAAACTAACTTACAGGTACATTTTTTTTGCAAGTGCATTGTGTTATTCAAGAACTTTAGGTAGATTTCCAGGAAAAAGAAGAAAAACAAAGGATTAGATTTTAAATAATTAGTAGAATAAATTTAATAGATCAGAATCTATCGAAATATCAAATAATATTTGTGAGATCTTCGTAGTGAATCTGAAAAAGGTGATAAAGTGTTTATAATATTAAAGAATACAAAGTGTAGTGGTGGAAAATTAAAAGGTTTTGTGCATAGTGCTAAGAAATAGGTGGATCACTAAATATTTTGTATTGTCTCAAATACAAATACATTTTTTCAGATTTTATCATAAATATAAAGTTATAGTAGAGTAGAATGCGTTACAGATAAGTCATGTCAGTCCAATAAATACATAAAAACATATTTATCCCCGTCAGACTGTTCTAATCAGTTCCTTGAGTTGAGTATTGTATATTGTAAATATATCATTATTAATGGCAGAATGGATAATTTGGGCATTTGTAGGCAGATACTCCATCAGGATAAAGTCTGTGAGCAAATCCTGGTAATGGAGGAGCATGGTAAGCTGCTCCAATGGTGTTGTCGCAGTATGGATAATTTGGGCAGGTTGATGGGTCAACTCCAGCTGGGTATCTAAATTGATTGAGATTAATTGAAAAATGATATAAAAATATGCTTAGAAGATTATTATGTCACATTATTTCCAAATTTGTACAAAAATGAATAATCTACATCATTGTGTATTGTTTTAAAGTCTCCAATGCCATTATAATACCTGGAGTACCCTCACATTTTTACATCTTGAATCAAATACTTTTTGAAGACGTTTTGCAGAGGACTGCTTTATCACCAAGTTATAGTATATAAATAAAATGACTCAAAACCTTTGCAATTGGTTAAAAACTGAATGAAATGTCTAAATTGTAGTAAAATTTTAACTATACAATCAATTTGTAATTAATATTATTATTTATATCCATATTTTGTTAAACTATTAAAACTTGAGCACTGGTTAAATTAAGTTAATAACATGTCCCTAAATTTCTAACTTTTCAATTAATACAACCGTGAAATCTAATATCCGGACTTAGACTCCTTCTTGAAAATATGGTTGACTGATAGGGAAAATGATAAAAATCTTAAAACAAGTACATAAAAACCACTTGTCTATTATGTATGACTAGATGTACCAATCACATAAGTCTCCTAAATCATAAAACTTAAACCCTCCTCCATCTTAAAAATATATTTTTTTATAATATACTAACTTGGCACCCCCAACTCCGTGGTAATCGTGATGATCGTAATGAATTGGAGCTACTGGTACGACTGGGGCGTGGGCGACAGCATACTGGGCGAGCAGCAAATTATCACAATGGGGATAACCAGGACACAGTGCAGGGTTTACACCAGCCGGGTAACGGGCACCAGCGTGTTGAGGTAATCCATAAACCACTGCTAAGCAGATGGCTGATAATGCCAATACCTTAGGTAAAAGATCCAGAAATTAAAAGATAGATTTAAATTGCTGGACGAACCACAAGTTTAGCGCATTTGTTTTTTATTAGCCAATGTGAGATAATATACTCAGAGTTCATAATATGTTCACAATGAAGAATCATTAAAAAAAATTAAATCGAAGTAAAATTGTAGGTGACGCAGCCCAAATTTCTTTTGGTCAATCATCTTTTTGTAAGAAAGTAATGAACTTATCTGAAGCCAATTTTAGTATAAGTTTTCTTTCAAAAGCTCCTCTTTCTTGGTCACAATTTGTAAGAAGTAAAAATACTAATAAATGAGGTAACTTCAACGCTAATAGATATATTAACTTTTGGTAAGCAAGTCTCCTAAACTACTACTTGCATATTGCAATATACTTATAGAACTTTATTATGGTCCAACGCTATGTTTCATGAACATCGTCAATTGATATCTTTCCGAAAGTTTCCGAGTTTTCAAAATCGGTTAAAAATTTTTGGAAAAAACTTTGATGGAAATTTGTGCAGTAATCTGATAATTATAAAAAAACGTCACTGCTGATTGTTTTACAAAACTAATACATACTGTTCTTCCCGAGGGCCATCAATTGCATTTTAAATTCTTTAAATCGGTGCGTTCTTTATAAAAGCTTTCTTTGCGTTCTTTATTTTGAAAAAACAAAAAGTCGATATAAAGCTCCCTCTACGATCCCACACATTACATATTATTTTGGCGACGATTCAGAATGACTTGCAGCATCGAAAAAACATAAAATTAGCAACACATTTTATGGTGAAAAAAAATTTCTTTTTCAGGGAATTAAAAATGAATAATTAAACACAATGATTGAATATAATACGTTTTTAAGGCATTGTATGTTTAATGATACTTTATCAGTACACAACAATTTTGCAGCCACAAGGTTGTGAGTTCAAATCCCGCATTACGTACAATCTGATGTCAAGCAGTAGTTTTAATTGAAAATTCCATATATTACTTACAATTTTCAAGTATGTACAGTACAATACATTATACAAAAGTTCATAGGATATAAGGTTAGTTTTGATTACTTTTCAAAATAAAATAAAAACTATCATACTAAGCAAAAATATTATTATAAAGTTTTTAGGAAATTAAAAATAAATTGCTTTTTCTAACTCAATTATTTTTTTATTTACTATTTTTTATTGTTTACATCTTCGTCAGGATAAAGGTTTACTTGGACCCTTTTACCCCACCCACGTGTAAGCTTTTACAAAGGTAATATTTATAAAAATAACTATTGAATCTAACTGAAAATTAGCAGTATAACATATGAATCAATTAAATAACGTATACATAAAAATTATATTAAGGTCTCGTAAACTAAACAACAGTGCTCACAACCGAATAAACTAACAACGAAAAAAATACTTTTGTTATGGATTTTCAAATATTGCTGTGTATTGCTGTCCCGGATAGCAACGTCATAAGATTCAAGGTAATGGCTGGCTATACATTTTTTTCCCTCTACTTTCAAATATTGTTGGTAAAAAATCCTTAACTTTACTTATTTTTGAAATATCGGTAGTGGTGAAATATGATTAATAAATTTTTAAGCCCTGTTCAACTCTTTATCACACACACACTTTACAGTAAAAATTTTAAGACAAAGACAAAGGACAACCATTGGGTTGCCTTCTAATAAAGGTAAATCAAAGGGTAGTTCTGATTACTATTAAAAATAAAATAAAAATAGCATAGTATACAAAAATATTATTACATTTTTTGTGTATTTTTTTCAACTTACGATTTTAGCAGACATTTTATCAAATTAATTTTCTATTTTCCACTGTTTCCTTTCGAATGTATATCACTAGAACACAGTCTTGTATGATGCCCATAGTCGGGCGACCGTCTCTTTTATAGTACTAGAACGGGGGTCGAACCAAGGCCGGTGCAGTTTGCAAATATTGCAATTTGATCTTTCTGTCAGAGACATATTGTTTATTAGAGAACATTGCGATTGTGTTAACACACGGAGAAATGACTGAAATCCATAAGCCTACGCTTTGTAATTAAAATAAATATTTTAGTGGTTTCAAATGCTTATTGAGCAATCGGAAAATGGCAAACGAAACCGCTTGATAATAAATCGATTGGACCACAAGTTTATCTTTGGAATTGAGTAATTACTTTGTTTTATCTATCTATAATATAAAAATGAATCGCAAAATGTGTTGGTAAGCGCAAAACTCAACAATGCCTGGACCAAATTTGGCCAATTCTTTTTTTAAAATGTTCGTTGTAGTCCAAGGTTGGTTCTTACGGCGAGAACAAAACGAATAATTGCTGGGAAAACCCTAAAAACAGCCCTTTTTTTCACAAACAAACGTTAGTATTTTCATATATTTGCCATCGGATACGGAATATTTACTCAAGTCAATAAAGCGTTTTGGTTCTGAATTTTTTTACTGTGCTCCGAATCGTATGAAATTTTGAAATTAGGTTTATCTTACTCTCAAGTTCAAAAAAGAAAATTCTTTAGACTCCTTTGCCATTTCCCGGGTGGATGACATCCCTCTTACTAATGTAATTTCATTTTTTTTTCAAAATGTTATTTTTATCATTTGGAATATTTAAGCTTAGTAAATGCAAAATAAGATCAGGTTAGATTGGTAATATAAACAATTGATTGAGTATCCACCCAGCCTTATAAGAATTAATTACGATTATAAATTATAATATTTACATTGCTCTAATATATTTCAAAATGGCCCAGCCTATAAATTATATATATATATATATATATATATATATATATATATATCGTATGCATAAGTATAAGGTTAATAAGCAAATTTGTGCATAATTGATAGATAGTTACTATTGTTTCGCCAACGACTTTGTTTCGTATATAAATGTGAACTTATACATATGTCTATCAAAATAAATGGGACATATGAACTACAACTTTGCAGAATATCAAGTACTATATTAGTTCTCATTTTGTTTTATATATTAAATCATACTGACATTTTTAAGAGTCAATTTTTGGAGATTCTGATCATTGATCAGTAGTCTGAGATAGGTATCGATCGTCAATCGATTATTAAATTGTTAATCTCTGCATCCATTAATCACGTGAGTTTTTAGAGAAAGGAGGGCCTGACAAAAAATCACAAAATATCACGTGGAGGAGGAAGGGGTATAGTAACATATTACTAGTATTTATCATTTGCCTAAATTTTAAAATTTTGTCTCGTAACTAAAAATACACTTGATGTTTGGTGGAAGGAGGGGGTAATTTTGAATATCATCATGTATCATCCAGGGAGAGGGAGGTCCAAAAATCTTTGAGAAATCGATCACGTGATTAATGAACGACCCCTTTCGGAAATTTGAAACCGTAACCGTGAATATAACCATAAAACCATAGTAAAAAATATTAACACATTTGTCCCAAATTTTCAAGAATTAAGGCTTCTTGTTGAACTTGAAATTTTTGAAATCGATTATGAGGTGGCAAGTTCCATCAAAAGTTGGCCTTCATTGAGAATTGTAAAATGGTACAATACCTGAAAATTTCATTATTGAATAATTTCGAGTAAAAAATATCTAATCAGCCTGTTATTTATACTTTTAGCTATGCTTTTTTGAAAAATTTCTTCTTTTCAGAAAGGCATATAGCCAGAAGTATAAACAAGAGGTTGATTAGGTTTTTTTTACTTTCTAAAAGTGACTGTAAAAATTTCGACTCTAAATACTTCCATAATGTTGGAAACAAATTATGTCACTTGATGTCTGTTGACAATTGTTTTTGCAACTGCATTCTGCGTAATAATGGAATATTGGAGAAAGAAAAAATGACATTTTGTTGGATTGTAAGTGTTTAAATATTGAGCCACATGTCTATAGTATTATTATTTTAGATGTGTCAACGAATATCGGATTCTTGTAATGTTACGCTCTGAAGAATCCGATCATCGATTAGAATATATTTCTTGAGATTATACCAGTGATACACAAGCACTGATACAAAATCAGACTGGTAAATGTTTATAATGCTTAATAAAATATGTGTATCATATTCTATCATTTTGTTATATTTTTTCTCTAAATTGGAAATGTTTTTTTCTGAAAAAAATTTAATCATTGTTCTGCAACTATGATTATTTTTGTCATATTGGATCAAACTACATCAACAAAGACTCTACTATTGCAAGATTTACTGAACATATTTTAATTGCTGAGTTTAATTTTTATTTCGATAACTGAATATATACGTAAAATTTTTTTAATCATTATCCATCACCTAAAACACATGATGAATTTGAAGACTATTAATATAAGTGATTTAATTTAATTAAATCACTTATATTAATAAATTAATTTTATTGAATTGATAGAAATCACCAGTTTATACCAATTGGCAAAAATTTCCCAAATAATTTTTAGTTATTATTTAATTTCTAATTTAATGTTGTTGTTATCCATTGCTAGATCAATACCGATTTAAATATTTGAAACAATTGTCTCATTTCCAATGAAACCTACATCGGCACACTCACAAAACAATTAACATTCTTTGAACAATCACCGATATTTAGATACAAACTGTAGAAAATATTACACAATAATTACTTTTGAAACAATTTTTAATGTAGAATGATACGAAAATTAAGTTATTTCAATTAGACAAAACTGATCTTGAATAATTACCTATAAATTCAAATATTAACTTATTGAAACATCATGATTTACCAAAACTCGTCTTTTATCAAATAAAACTATTTTCAAAGCAATTAGCATATAGAAGTTATTTCCAATAATTTTTAATAATGATATATGTTTATTTATTTTGTTGTTTAAAAATATAGAATTATTAATCAATATAAGAATGATATAAAATTTTAATTATTAATATAAATATAAATTCAAAGCAATTCCTAAAGAAGAAGATAAATCTTATCTCAGAAACAAAGAATACAAGCATTGAAAGGAATATTTTCATAAAAAATCTGAAGCTTTTTTTTAGCAAGAAACCAGAACTATTTATATATATATATATATATATATATATATATATATATACCAGACGTTTAATGAAAGTGGAGGGTGTACAATTTACCTTGGCGTCTGCGCAGAAGATATCCCTACAAAATGGCGCAACAGCCCCTTTGCTGATTCGCCTCGTGCAAATCTATATCCCCAAAATTTTATTCTATTAGATACTTTTGTTCTATAAAAAAAAATAATAAACATTTTCATTCAATTAGAATTAAAAATGGTGATGATGTATGTAATTAAAAAAATAATGAACCTACTGTATGTGTTATTACAAGAATTGAACAAGTTTGATTTTCCTAATGTAATTTGTAATAATTCATGTGATGAAATAAGATAAATTTATATAATATTGATGCATTCGTGAATGTAAAACATTAATAAATAATTATGCATTTTTAGGTCGAGTTGATATCTCGCCAAATTAAAATTTTATGAAATGTAAATTAAATTAATAGAAAGTAGTTTATGCACAACATTTTGTTAAGAATTTATTAATTGATCAAATTTTTCATAAGACATTTGCAGAAATTTTAGATTAAATTGATGAGTAGTAAATTTGTCATAATAAACGCAATACCCAAAATAATTTACCTTCTGAAGACAATGATGTTTTGATCACAATGTCTATTATTAATTATAGTGATAGAACCACAATGTCTATTATTAATTATAGTGAATGCTAAAATCATATTGCAAAAAATAAAAGAATGTGCAAATTATTAGTTTCAGTTATATACTCGAACATAATTACAGAAATATGTTTCCGATTGAATAATATGTGTTGCCATTCCATCACATACCATTCCGTCTTTAGAGTTTAACATTTTTTCTGTTTTCTAAACATTTCTGCTGAAAAAGGATAAATGAGCTATTATGATCGTACTGGCTGTGCATTCTCTATGTGATAAGAATATTATTATATATTTTTTAATAATGATGTAAATGTATTTATGTTTATTTGCCATAAAAATAAGGTACCCATAGGTCCCGATTTGGCCGAAATAGTCCCGGATTTCTACCTTGTGTCCCGGGTTTTTCTGCCAAGATTTGTCCCAAATTCAGATTTTTTGCCTGCGATTGTCTCAGGTTTACTCAAAGTATAAGTTTAAATTAAATCTTTGCAATTACTTAATAATAAAATTTAATTTAATTTAATTAATTAACATAAAGATCCCCTTCCGTCTCATTTTTAGCATAAAATTTTATTTAATTTAATTTAATTTAATTTAATTAATTAACATAAAGATCCCCTTCCGTCTCACTTTCAGCATCAAAATACATGGTCACCTCACTCCTATTACCTCACAACATATTAGATCAACATTTTCATATGAATATTGATCACTGATTTATTATCACTACTGATTGGTATCAGATTCTCCAAGGCAAAATTGAACCTGGAACCTTATGGTTGCATCATATTTAGATCTACATTTTCATATGAATATTGATATCACTACTGATTGATATCAGATTTTCCGAAGCAAAATGAACATGAAAACTTATGGTTGCCAAAGCTTTTCACTTGAACCAAAAACAAACCCTCTATACCGAATATAGATCACAAAATATCCATTGCCAGTTGTAGCAGAGTTTCGAATAAAAACTCTATTACAAATGTATATTTAAATGATTTATGATTTCGAAACCAACAAATGTTTTGCCGACCACCGACTACCCCTTGCCTGTACACAATAATAATGGAGGGTTGGTCGGGTGTTATCATTGACTTCTGCTATCAGATGGCAAACTCCG